GACCCCAGGGCCCCTCTGCCAGCCACGGTCAAGGTGCTGGGCAGGGGGAACGTGGGTGCAGGAGAGCTTGCTCTGACGTTCCCAGCCTCCCGGTTGCGCCCCATCTCCTGGTTCAGCCCTTCCAACCGGGCCATGGATTGGGAAGGTGTGCAAATCACGGGTCTAATGTGTAAAGCACCAGCTGGAAATTAGGGAGGCTTAGGCTATTTATTTACTTATTTATTTAGTCTCCATCAGGAGCCAAGGCAAGCTGCTGACCCTTCTGGGTCCTCGGTTTTCCTTTCTATAAAACGGGGCTATTATATGCCGGTGGGTGCCTGGAGAATGAAGTGAGAGGGTCTTACTGTTGATGATGAGTAAACAGCTAATACGTGCTATTAATTTATTCCTGCAACAATCCTGGGAGATTGGTGCCCTCTCTACCTCCATTTACCAGAGGAGGAAACCAAATTTCAGAGAAGAAAAGAGTCTTGCCTAAGATGGCAAAGCTGGAAAAAGTCAAATGTCCATGGAAACCACAGGGATGGCTTTTTGCTTTCCTGTTTCGTTTGGAAGCTACACAGGTAGCGCCGGGGGTCAGAGAGGTGGGTTGAGCACCAAAGAATAATTTTCTTTACTAAACCGTGTGGGATCCAGAGAGAATGGGTGCTAGTTTTCAGCAGAGAGAATGGTTAGTATTTAGACCATATTCTTACAGGGCCTGGTGAGGGTCTCAGCCCTGGCTGACACCGTCCACTGGTGAGAAGATTCTGTGGGCCTCGCTAACCCTGGGTCTGTTTCAGAAACCCATCATCGCTTTGACCCATCCAAGTCCTCCACCTTCCAGAACCTGAACGAGCCCCTGTCCATCCAGTACGGCACCGGCAGCATGCAGGGCTTTCTGGGTCTCGACACCGTCACTGTGAGTGGGGCTTTGGGTCAGCAGGCACTCACCTTTCCTCCCCAACCAGCCGCTTCACCACCTAGACGCCCAGGCTCTGGTGAGCTGTCCCTCCAGCTGCGGCTGAGAGGCCCTTTGGATCCTGTCCTCCCCCCCACCAACCGGTGGCCTGGTGGGGATTTAAAATCTGAGAGGGATTTTAGCCAGCAGCCTCTGTGGCTCGACCTTCCCTCCTCCCTCCTCTCCTTCCCATGCCAACCCCCAGAGTCCTCTTGAGAGGCTTCTCCATGCCTACTTTCCATCTTCCCAATCTTCTTCATCTATGCTTGCCATAATTGGTCCAGGATCCCCAGTCTGTGCCAGCACTGAGCTCTCTTCAGTGTCGCCCGTGTGATCTCACTGGAAATGTCGTTCTTAGGAAGGTGCTATTATCCCCTTGTTCAGAGGAGGAAGCAGAAGCTCAGAGGAGCCAGTAACTTGCCTGAAGTTACTGGGAGCTGAGTGTCAGAACCCCGCCTCCCAATCTTTGAGCGGTGCCCTTGGCTTGGCCTCCTTCAGTCGCCCTGGAGGACGAATCCCCTGCCCAGGTGTCATGGAACAGCATACTCTTTCCCATCAGAGAGCACCTGTGCCCTGTGGACAAGGGTTCCCCTGTCTGTTGCCACTTTTTGGCTTGTAAAGTACTCAACACAGGGGTGGGCACACAGTAAGGGCACAATACACATTAACTTCCTTGTCTCTTTCCTCACCCACTATCCAAGATTAAGCAGCATCCCTCCATGATTTTCACCTCAATCTTCCTTGAGTCCTTTCTGGGTCTGGCTGAAGGCTCTTTTGCTTTGAGCCAAAAGGGAGACACGGCTCTTCTCCATTGACAGTCCTGTCCTCAGCCTCTCTCGTAGGCAGGACAGGTGCCCACGCAGCTCAGGCCTCCCCAAGAATCAGCAGCACCAGGCGGCAGGGGCCCAGAGCCTCTTCCTCGGTCCCCGGCTTCATTGGACCAATTCCCTCAAAACCACAGCGCAGAGCTGGGAAAGGAGGGCTTTTCTTTGCTCGAGTAACTACATTACCTGGAGGAGGGAGGGCGAGCCCCAAGGCTGATCCTGATACCCACTTGCCCTGGGATCTTCCTGCCTCTGGCTGAGGGGCCCTTGGTGGAGGTCACTCTGCTTCTCTTACAGGTCTCCTCCATCGTGGACCCCCAGCAGACTGTGGGCCTGAGCACCCAGGAACCTGGCAACGTCTTTACCTACTCTGAGTTCGATGGGATCCTGGGGCTGGCCTACCCCTCTCTGGCCTCCGAGTACTCAGTGCCCGTGTTTGACAATATGATGCAGAAGCACCTGGTGGCCAAAGACCTGTTCTCTGTTTACTTGGACAGGTAGGAGCTGTCCCCAGGCAGGGTCAGACGTCCACAGCCCAGCAAGGTCTCTTGGCTGAGGAATGTCCACCCCTCTGGGACACGGCAACTCAAGGGTGGTGTCCAGAATCCAAGGAAACCTCTCCTTGTTTCCAGGCAGACCCAACTTCTTGTCCCAAAGTCCCCCACATAGCCATTGATACAGACAGAGTCCATTGGACCAACATTTGACTTTGATTTCTGGCATTTAAAAAACGAAGCCTGACCCCATCTCTGCATGGGGGCATTTTTTCTTTTTAACATTTATTTATTTTTGAGACAGAGAGAGACAGAGCATGAGTTGGGGAGGGGAAGAGAGAGAGGGACACACAGAATCTAAAGCAGGCTCTAGGCTCTGAGCTGTCAGCACAGAGCCTGACACAGGGCTCGAGCTCACAAAGTATGAGATCATGACCTGAGCCGAAGTCGGACGTTTGACTGAGCCACCCAGGCACCCCTGCATGGGGGCATTTAACATCTTTTTTCCAAAGTAGCCAGGACTCCATAATCATTGTGGGTGTCACTGAGATTCATAGACTTCTATTTATTTTTATTTTATTAAATTTTTTTTAATGTTTATTTTATTTTTGAGAGAGAGACAGATAGAGCACAAGTGGAAGAGGGGCAGAGAGAGAGGGAGACACAGGATCCAAAGCAGGCTGCGGGCTCTAAACTGTCAGCACAGAGCCTGACGCTGGGCTTGAACCCATGAACGATGAGATTGTGACCTGAGTTGAAGTTGGATGCTCAACCAACTGAGCCACCCAGGCGTCCCCACAGACTTTTAGAGTAGGCTCCAAAGGAGTCCAGTCTTCTCCTTTCACTATGAAGGAAACTGAGGCCTGGGAGGGACGATCACCCCAGGAACTGGTGGCTAAGTCATACCTGTGTCTCTGTTTCTGTCAAAAATAAATAAACATTAAAAAAAAAAAGTAGCAGAGGGGGAATTCAGTGACACTGCAGTGTGCCCATGTTTCCTGGCTGAGAGAAGAGCCCCGGAGTATGTGGAACCTTGTTGAAGACTCTCTCTTCTACTTGTAGCCAAAGGCCTGGGGGCAGGGGGTGGGCACAGGGGGACCCCTGAGGGTGACCTGAGCAGAGCCCAGTGGTCATGTGACCTGTGTGGTGGTCATTTCCTGACCTCCCCTCGGGAGGCAGGTGCTGCCTCAGCCGGGGGGGCTACAGAGCTCAGAGAGAGGATGCTGCAGCTGTTATCAGGGAAAAGCCCCGAAGAGCGGGGAGGCCGGGAGAAAGCATCTGAAGCCTTCGGGGTGGAGGTGGGAGTCGAGGGCAGGGTGGACAGGAGGGCCAGGTCTCAGTGGCATCTGCCCCTGGGTGGGGATGCGGCGGCCCGTCACCAATTTCCTTGGTTTCAGGAATGGCCCGGGGAGCATGCTCACGCTGGGAGCCATTGACCCCTCCTACTACACAGGCTCCCTGCACTGGGTGCCCGTGACCGTGCAGGAGTACTGGCAGTTCACCGTGGACAGGTGAGTGAGCGGCAGCCCTGGGCCCCAGCCACGGGGTGGTTCCGGGTGTGGGGACGGGAGGGCCTGGGGATCAGCCCGGGAGGCTCTGAGAAGGCCTGCACACCGTAGCTTGTAAGACCATCACAACAGATTCTGAATTAGACGCTGCCAAGGCCAATGACCTTTGCTGATGAGCACGCTGGACGTTCACTGATGCTTCATTCTTAAGAGTGCTGCACTAACTGAGCACTTACTACCTGCTAGGCGTTGGGATGAGTGATAATAGGACCGTCTCGTTTATTCCTGGTGAAAACCCTATGAGGTGGTGCCATTAGTAATCCTCATTTTATAATTTACTGACCTCAAGTCTGAACCTCGTGACCATCCCTTGAGGAAGTCAAGGAAGGAGGGGTTGTGACTCCATTCTGTGGATGAGAAGCCGGAGTTCAGGAAGGCTGGGTGACTTGTACAAGATTTGCAGCAGGTGGATGGCGGGGAGAAAATTTGAAACCAGATCTTTAGGCGACTTGTGCAGGACTCATTCCACCCCGACTCCAAAGTCTTGCCATGTGATTTTACAATTTTTTGACGTTTCTGTCCCACAGGAGGTGGGGCAGCCTTGACTTGGCTAATGACTTGGGAGAAAATGGTTTCAGGTCTTTTCTATGAGCTCTGGAAGTGGTGCTTGGGCTTGCCCCCTGCCCGAGGATCCTGGCAGGGGAGGGAGGGTTAGATGCTGGACGTGCTGCGAGGCTGTCCTGTTTCCGCTCTGCAGGGTTACGGTCAATGGCGTGGTGGTGGCCTGCGATGGTGGCTGCCAGGCCATCCTGGACACAGGCACCTCCATGCTGGTTGGGCCTAGCAGCGACATCCTCAACATCCAGACGGCCATTGGAGCCACCCAGGACGAGTTTGGCCAGGTGAGGCCAGGCCCATTTCCCCCAAGGGGCTGGGATTTCTCTGAACACCTTCACAATGGCCTTCCAGCTCCGCCCACCACTGCCGTGGAGGCTCTCACGTCTCATGCAGCTGCAGCGGCCAAGGTCTGGCCTCCGGGTCTCCAGGAGGGCCGTGCATCCCCGAGCTCTGCTGCACCTCCTTGTTCCTTCACCACCCCACGGGTCTCCCTGCTTCCTCCCTGACAGCTAAGAGCTCCCAGTGTCCTGGCTGAGACTGGAGGGGAAACACTGAGGCCAGTCCCTCTGTCTCAAGCTGGGGTCTGTCCCTGCACTGACTGACAGCAGGTCCTCGTCAATGTGACTCTTGAGGCCTGAGAGAGAATCTCCCTAGAGTCCTCTGGGTGGGCAAGCCTCTCCCCACCGCTTGGCTCCAGTGCAGAAGAAGGGGCTGTGCCTGGGCCCTCCTCTGCCTCTTCCAGCCAGATCACATCCCTTGCCCATCTAAGAGGACCTCCTTCTGGTCTTTAGTTTGACATCAACTGCGGGCAACTGAACAGCATGCCTATGGTGGTCTTTGAGATCAACGGCAGGAAGTACCCACTGCCCCCCTCTGCCTACACCAGCCAGGTATGAGTCTCAGGAGAGGAAGCCTGGGTTCACCCGGCACCCCTTCTCTCTCCTGGCAAGTCAGCGAACTTCTTTGGTGGCGTGGCCCAGATGGAGAGTGTGGGAGGTACATGTAGATCAACCGGCCTTTCTGAGTGGGGCCCTGTTGTCCTTGGGCCTCACATGTGGCTGTTATGGCCTCATCCTGGGAGACATGGGGTGGAGAGAGCCCAGCGGCTTGAGGGAGGGTGGGGTAGGCAGGACCACAGCTCCCTGTGGGAACCTCCATCCACTGTTCTAGCTGCTAAGCCCAGGGCTCTGGAGCTTTGTCCAGGATTTTTGTGGATAGCCTGGGCTTTGTGGGGACCCAGCCCTTATCCCCCCCGACCCACTGGCCTCAGCTTTGGTCTGGCCTTGAGTATATACAACTAGTAAGGCCTTGGGGCCCCCCCCAGCCTGGTCTGGCTGGTCCTCAGGGCAGTAGGTGCTAAGAGGAGGGCTGGAGGCTAGAGAGCACAAGTGAGGAGGAGCGGGGTCAGGGGACCATCCCAAGTGATCTTGCATTACATCACTTGATTTTCTGAGTATCCGTTTTTTCACCTTGTTGAGCGAGATGAGTCTGATACTTGTCTGCTTACCTCCGAGGGTGATTTCAAGGATGACAGGAAATAATAACTGAGAGAATAATTGTGGGGTGTGGTGGGGGAGGCTTGCCATCGGATGTGGTGACTGTGGTTGGGACCAGCTTCATCTCAGCCTTGCCTTTCCCAGGATCTGGGCTTCTGCGCCAGCGGTTTCCAGGGTGAGGGCGACGACCCGCTGTGGATCCTGGGAGATGTCTTCATCCGGGAGTATTACAGTGTCTTTGACAGGATCAACAACCGCGTGGGGCTGGCCAAGGCCATCTGATTGCACCGCCGACCGTGGAACACGCATGCACTCCCTAAGCACACATGCATGTGCACACACACACACGCACACACGCACACATATGGACCAGGTTTTCTGGCAGATGGTTCCCAATAAACACCATATCGCTGCAAAGTGTGGCTTCTGTGGGGCCAAAGCCCTGCGCCCTTGTGGGGGTGGGGAGTGACTGTCATGTGGTACGTCTGGCAGCATTGGGGCTTCGTGACTGGGGGAGGGTTCAGGACCTCGTTGGTGGGTGGAGACTTTCACAAGGGAATTGGCCACTTCAAGCTTAGGCCAGGTAAAACCAAGGCACGTCTTGCCTCTCTGTTCTCTCACTCTAGATCTTTCTGGGGAAAGGGTACAGTAGGGGAGACCTTTGCAGGACGAGGCTGGTCCCTGAGGAGCAAGGGGTGTGGGGCTGAGGAGAGAAAAGCTCTAAGTCCATTAAGAAAAGGGCCTTGGGGTATTTTGAAGAAGACAGTGCGGTAGACAGAAGGCACGTGGGAAGATCTGAAGGTCCTGAGGTTGCCATTAACCTTGGGGAAGAACCACAGCTGAGAGTCCCATCCTCAGTCTTAGAGGCTCTCAACCTGACCCACCAGCACGTGGAGAGTGGCTCCATCCCTGGGACAGACCCACATTCAAGGGCTCTCAGAGGCTGCCAGTCAAAGCTCACGCCAGTGCTCAGTGCTGACTGCTAGAGCTGAGTGAAGACCCCCTAGTGCTCAGCCAAGACCCCAGCAGTCGGTGGCCAGACCACTCCTGCTCCCAGGTTCCTGAAGCTTCTTTCTAGAAACAGAGAGGCCGCATGGAAAATAGAGATACCAGAGGGTTAGAACAAAGGGATCCAGGTGGATTTAAGTGGTTTTCTCACTTATGCTACCTTGAGACCATATGGGGGTCAGGCAGACAAGCTTCCTGGGGGGATTTCAGTGCTCAGAGCCCTTTGACAGGCCCCCTGCAACAGTGCTCTGCTGATCTGCACATGTTTGCTCCCTCGACCCTCCTTCCTTTTTCTTTGGGCCCCTTGTCTTGGCAGCCTCCCAACAGGAGGCAGTATAATTGATCAGGCTTCTGTTTTCTAAACCACAGCCAGTCTGGCCCCCCATTTTGGGACTGGGCTTCAAGTCACACCTGTAAGTAGCTGAACTCTCAGAAGGCGTGGAAAGGGAGCTGGGGCCGGGTTAGCATCTAGGTCCCGCCCCCGCCCTTCCTAATCCTGACCACACTTGCCCTGCAGACAGCTGAGGAGCAAGTGAGTCACACAGCAGTCTCAGAGAGCTTGATGCCTCGGATTTGGCCAGGACGCTTCACAAAGGACAAAGGAGACTGTGCTTTAGGAAGAGGAGTGGGGAGAGGGACTTGGCAGACCAGATCCTGTTAACAGGCTCCCCCGGGGCCATCTCTTGGGGTCTTTCTCAGCTGTATGCAAAGCCAAAGAAGATGAGGAACACAGGGCAGTGGAAATGTTGTCCCCAGTGCCTTTGTGGGTCTGTGGAGGAGCAGCCAGCACGGGGCCCCGGAAGCACCCAGTGGTTTCTGGCAGGAAAGGAACGGAATTGGACTGTGGGGGCCTACGTGGAGGAGGAAGGGCTCAGGCGGCAGCCCCAGCTGAGCTGAGGAGCCTGGGGTGGGTTGGGGCAGAGGCTACGGGAACACATTCCAGGACTTCAAGAACAGAGGATGGGCCTTGGGGTTTGGTTCCTACAAGGTCAGGGAGGACAACATGGCGTCAAGGAGTGAGTTCTGGCTTTGGGCGACTTTGCCAAGCCTCGCTTTTCTCATCCAAGACCAATACTGTCTGTTTGCCAAGCATGAGACAGAACTGGGCCACATTCATTATTTTTAGGCTTCTTGTAGATTAAAAAAAAAGTCCCGAACAAGCTCACGAAAATTGTGTCATATTTTAATGGCTTACACTTAGCAAATTGCATTTTAAACATCCAGACTTCCATGAGAGATCATGTGGAAAGTCTCCACATGATGATTTTCATAAATGGGAGGCTTAGACCGAATGGTCCCCCACTGCTGGCCCTAGCCCACTGGACCCCGGTGGCGGTCCCTGTTCTAGGTGGTTAGTGGCCAGTCCCTCCCTAGGGTTTCTCCCCGCTGCAGAGAATACCCTGCTGGAAAGGTTCGCCGCCCTCCGACCCCTTTGTTCAGTTTTCACTTGTCCTTCAAACCTCAGCTGAGTGCAAATCTTTCCAGGATGCTCTTGACCAGGCTGGGTTGGTTCCCTCCTGTGCGCCCCCTGTGCCCCGTGCTCTCCTTATCACAGTGCTTAGCGTTCTAACACTTATTTCCCGTCTGTCCCCCTCACCGACTGGGGGCTCCCTGAGGACAGACACTGCGTCTCTCATTTTGATATCTTGGGTACCTAAACCATAGAATGCCTTCATCAAGTGTTGTTGATATGAATAATATCATCAATGAATGAACGAATGAATGATTCAATCAGTAAGGTCCTCAAGAGTTGCACTGCTCGCTGCTGGTCTCCCCCTTTTCTCTCGGATCCTTGCAACCACCCACCCACCCACCACACTCGGGCCCTCTCTGCATCTTCTCCCTCTCGTTGCTGAGCAAGCAATGCTCCCCCTTCTTTGCTGTCCCTGGGGAATGGCTCACCTTCAATGGGACAATGAAGGGGCAGAAGGCAGCCGCCGCTGCCTCCAGGGCTTTAAGGTTCTGCCGGAGGGGCCCACACTGGGCTCTGCACCAGGCCCCGCTCTCTGGTGGAGGGGGGGGGGTCTGCCAAGTGATGAAGGGGCCTTGGAAGGGCTGTCAGCACATCTGCTACTTGCTTGTGAAGAGGGGCCACCTGGAGGCCAGTGGGGAACTGCGATGCTGGGCGGAGGTTCCCGCGGGGCCAGCTGCTGACTCCCCGCTCCCCCACCGGCACCAGCTGCTGACGAAAAAGCCAAGGCAGGGAGACCGCAGCTGGGGAAGCCTCAGCGTTTGCTCCCGTCCCCGCCACAGTCTGCCGCCTTAGCCACACCTAACCCCCTGCAGAGCTGGCCTCAGGGCCTTTGTGCCTGCCATCCCTTTGCCAGTTTTTCTCCTTTCCGTTCTCTCTGACCTATGACTTGCTCCTCATCCTTCCAGATCAGCTTAAGTGTCCCCGGAGGTGACACCCCTCTCTGCCAGACTTTCTCTTCTAGCTTCCTGATTGCTCAGTGGGGATCTTTACAACAGATTTGTCCTGTCGTATTTATTCGCTTACACATCGGTCTCTGCCTGAGCGTCTGGTGGACAGCATGGGCATCCTTCCTCTCTGAGTCCTCCGTGCCTGGGGTGGGGGGCGGGGCAGGGGCGCCGGGCACACCTTGGAGGTTGAGCAAGCGCCCAAGGGTGGTTTATGCTGTGTGACGTGAGCGGGCGAATCTATGGCCTGGTAGCATGAACCACGAGTGCGGGGAAACACAGGTTCACGAGGATGCAAGCATGAACACGTGCGCACACACACGCACGCACAGATGCACACAGTCAGGCAAACGTGCTGGCCCAGCACCCCTCCCTGTCCCCCCCCTCCCCATACACAGGGGCAGAGGCCTCAGCTCGCAGCCCCATCCCCCCGCCCTCTGTCCTTCTCCCTCCCCTGTCACTCAGTTCCAAGCCAGTTCCTCTCATGCTAATGAGAGGAAGCTTTGGCCAGAGAGAAGCTTGGAAAGGAAGTCTTTGAAATGGAAATGTTATGACAAAATGATGGATTGTTTTCTGAGCTGTGCAGTTGGTTTCTTGCTGGCAGCAGCAGAAGGGAGGCTATAACTGAAGGGGGGGGGGTAGAAGTTTGCCCCATGTCAGGAAGCCCTAGGCAGCAAGAGAGGCAAGGGAGACACACTATAAGAGCAGGAGGTGGGCAATGGGAAGAGGGGGTGAGGGACAGCCTGGGGCAGGCAAAGGGACTTGGCCTGGCCACCGCCCAGGAGCCCTGGTTGTGGCCACTCCCCCACACCCGCCCCCTACAGGCCAGGGCCTGCAGCAGCTCCCTGCTGAGAACAGGAGGGGCTGACCTTCCACCAAGGCCATACCTAGGACCCTGCAGGGCTGGCCTCTGGGCCTTTGCTCATGCTGCTTCCTTTGCCGGGAGCCCCACCCACTTTCTCCAACCTGTGAACTGCTCTTCATCCTTCAAGACCAGCTTAAATGTCACTTCCTCTGAGAAGAGCCCCTACTGCACATGATGCCCACCTCACCCAAACCCTCCAAACCCCAGCAATGCTTGCTCACTGACCCTGGCTGCTCGGTTTACCCAGGGCTATTTAGAATTGTCACCTTATTTACTAAAAAATATGTTTCGATGGAGCACCGGGGTGGCTCTGTCGGTTGAGCGTCCGACTTCGGCTCAGGTCATGATCTCACGGTTTGTGAGTTCTGCACGCCACTTCGGATCCTCTGTCCCCCTCTCTCTCCACCCCTCCCCCACTTGCACGTACGCTCTCTCAAAATAAATAGACATTAAAAAAAGTGTTTTGAGTCTGTACTGCGTGTGAAGCACTGTTCCACGCACTGAGTCCCTCGGTAAACACGCCGTACAGAAGCCTCCACTGCCACGGAGTTCTGTGGGGATGCGGATATGTGCAGGCTGTGTAGGATGTGGGCTGGTTTTAGGTGCCATGGGAGGAAGTGGAGAAGGACAACGAATGCCATGAGAACACATACGCTTTAAAATGAGGTGGGCAACACAGGCCTCACGAGAAGGGGCCATATGGACAAAGACATGCAAAAGGGGGTGACACACGGGTATGAAAGAGGAACAAGCATTATAGGTAGAAGGAATAGTGTGTGAAAAGTAGCCAGCACTTAACAGACAGAAGTTGCCCATAGGTAAATATGGATACATTACCATCTGCTTCCCCCTCGTACCTTTCTGAGATGACCCTTTGAGGGCAGGGGTCATATCTCAGTCCTTTTGTATCCTTCATAGCACTTCGCGTTTGACACAGCCGAATGTTCAGCGGAGGTGTGTTGAATGAATAAACGAACTCCAAATTGTTCTT